CCCACAAGGCAATATATGCCACTATCGGTGGACAAAATCCTGCATAACTGTCAGTACCTGGAACCCTAATTCAAGATTTAGCGTCTTCTTGGTCGTATGTCATGCAAGACCTAGTCCATCAGTATGATGTCCCTATGTGTATGTAGATCAGCAGAGCTGGAAGGGTGACATATTCGTGTGATATGCGTTCGAGTCCCCGGCAGCAAGCCAAAACATGATTCCCCAGCTATATTGATGCTATTTTTCGGGTATGTACCCAGGTTTTCTGTCCACATCTTCCTGTGGTGCCCTGCGAGCTGCACACCAGCTGGTTACGTATCATCAGTCAGGTCCCATACCCAAGTGATTGTAGCTACACACCTGGCTAATTAATGAAGACCCCCAAACCCAACATGTTTGGACGTTGGCGTGCGCATCACTTGCCGTTGTCTGCGCATGGCCGAAAAAGCTGCATAACGCAATGGGTGACGGTTGATGCTGCATTTGCTGAGTTGCTGGAACTGTGAGGAAGGCAACCTTACAGAACCTGCTGCGAGCACAAACAAAAAAGCCGCGGTATGAGCATGTCATCCTGCGGAAGGGGTCACACTCTCGGAACGCTCCCCTCTCTTGGCCATGGGCAACTTCCAGACACGCTTGCTAGCGTTGGCCTCCGCTGGTTTGGGATAACTACTGGTTCAGCCCTGCCAGTTCAAGGCACCGGATGATAGCACTACACGACCACTATAATAGCCCCGGGTAGTCAGAATGAGACCGACCGCAGGCCACGGATGTTGTGGGAAAGGGTCTTGTGCCAGAGGATGGCAGCCCAGCAGGCATTCAGCTGCGGAGAGAGAAGATGAGGGTCAAGTCCAATCTCTGCCCCACAACTACGTCTGTCAGCAAATGATAGGAGGAGCCTCATCCCTTTGAAAGTTCACGCAGACCGTGCGCAATCGACATGGAACTGTGAACCACTGGCCAATCAACGCTCTGTGTGCAGATTTGTCTGAGTGGCCATACATCTGCCGCACACCAGAAATCTTCGAGCAGTTGAGTGGAGGAAGTGCAAAGGCCCACGCAGTTAGGATCCAAATGCCTACGTTAGGTTTCTCAAAGTTGCTTCAAGGGTTGCAGGCATCCATGGCACAGTTCGCTTGTGCTTTATAGCAGCCCACAGAAAGAGAAGACCAGCTCCACAGCTTGGCCACGGAGGAGGCTCGCAGGGCAAACGACTGGGTGTCACTTCTTGCGGGCAGAAGTTCTCTGGGCTCAGTCCTTTGGAGTTGCTTGGCCTGCAAATGGTGAGGCCTGCTGGAGCGGGTGGGGGAGGAGCGCCAGGTGATGCTCAGATGCTCCAAGCAAGTCTGCAGGTATAGTCTTCCGAGCAAGAGGGGTGATTTCAACGGTTAGTGATCCTCTTTGAGGGTCCTATTATCTGGAAGGTACTTGGACCCGAGCATGGGAGTGTCTCAACAGCATTGATCTGTAAACACGCCAGGGCGTAGGGGCCTCTCCGGTCCACGACCCCACTTCAGAATGGGTGCTTTGTGAGCTGTCATTCCAAAATCGTTTCAGGCACGGTCGTTCCGGACCCATCACAGCATTTTACCAAAACGTGGCTTGCGGAAGGAAAGAGATACCGTTCCAGACCCTTGGAACAAGAGGCAGATCCAGACACTGCAGAACTAGCGAGACGGGGACGGCCCCGCACGGCACCCATGGGCAACACACAGCCGCAAACCCAAAGAGATACTCTACAGCCGCCAGAGCTCTATGGGTCACAGTGCTCTGGTAAGGGTACATGAGGCCGCAAAGCTTCACGTGTTAGCAGGTTGGTTCTTTTGGGCAGGTGCTTTCAGCTGGCGCATAAGATTAATTAACTGATTGCAGAGCAGGACTTGGGAACGTGTTCTTCCCTAGACAAAGCAGATCCACAGCATTGAGAAGGGGACACATACCAAAGATGAAAGCAAGACTGCTGTGCATTCAGCTGCTTTTTGCTGTTCTTGGAAATCTATACAGTACTATGCCTCAGCATATATCCAAGCCCAACCCATGCCTCGCCTCCGGTTTCTGCGCATGCATTATGAAATTCCTGAACCCCACTGTCCATTCAAGCAAGGTTACAGAGGCATGAGGGGCAAATTACTGGCCACCTTTCTCAAAATAGGCCCAGCGCCCTGAAGTACTAACCTAGACTCTGAAGTCCAAAGCTGGATAACGGTGCACTGAGCTAGGAACTTTTTTGACACACCAATTTTAGCTTCCACCCGTCGCCACGAATTTCTATTTCTACATCCTCAAAGCCTGACCCCGGATGTTAATTTGGACTGCACTGAGCCGCAGCCTCGTTGCTCGGAGGCGTGTAGCCGTAACGCAGTTTGCCCTGCTGTGATCGGGGGTGCATTATGTATAGGGGAGCTTCCCAAGAATCACCAACTAGCCTTTAGAAAGCTTGGGCCCCCGTAAAGAGGGCGCGATCTAAGGTTTAGGAAGTTCTGTGGGCAAAAAGCAGAAGCATGATATTGGTGTGTTGACTAAATGCCTTGAGCAGAGGAGACCTCATCAGACGGATCCCGAGTGGCAGCTGTTTGTACTTGTGACCTACTTTCCTAGCAGAAGAAGCTATCCATGGTCGAATTCAAGCGGGCACATCACGATTTTGTTTCTGTGGTGAGAGGGCCAGCAGCGTGAAGGACGCTCTTCACGGAGGTAATCTGGCCCGGCCTTGAATCACTAGGCTTCTGTCACTCCCCGTCATTAAGCAAATTTGTAGCCCTTGTCAGAGGTTTGGCTCCTAATTATAGGTCCACATCTACAATGCCAACCTTAGACATTGGCGTTGTGCAGAAGTACGAGCTTGTTAGCCAGCCACTGATGCAGCGAACTGTTTGACTTCTTCAAGGCCCTTAAGTCGGATCAAGGTACGACATGTTTTGTAATCCCAGAGCGAGTACCCCAGTTTGAGATCCACATCACAGCAGGGCATAGTCTCTGCCGGAGTGCTTCCGGTATGGGCTTTTCCAGCTTCCTAATTGGTCTTTGCCTGGCCCCTGTGCTTGGGGTGGTATTCCAGGCGGGCTGGGGTGTTTGCAATGTGTAAGACCTGCAGGCTTCCTTGCAACGACTGTTTGTTGCCCTTTGAAGATTCAAGGGAACGCTTGCCCACACTCTTGTACGTGAGGGCCCTTCCTATCCCGAAACAGCATACGGCCTACATTCCTACATTGTACAACGCACAAGGCGACCAACACATTTTTTTAGAAACTCTCGTGTGTCTAGAGGTGTCGACTAGTTAATAGCGTGGCGCATTGTAGGCTGCTGTCATGTTGTCTGCTTGACAGCTGAAACTTGTGTATGAGGTTTTGGACTTTATTATGCGATTGCTGGAACAGTAGTTCTGTAGAGGCATGGCTCTCTATTCAACTCTATTCATCACCATTCAGTACCTGCAGTCAAACTCCGTCTAGCATCCTCTAGCAGTCGCAGCATTACAGTACTTCAGCGCCTGTGCTCCTCCTAAGCGTTACCCATCTGCACAGAGATGATAAGCCGTAAATCAAAGGCCGATGATCCTTCATGAGCGGACGAAATATAGCCATCCAGCAAAGCTATGGAGGCCCCCCTAATGCTGAATGATTATAAAGTAGGATGGGAACATCCCAACAGCGGACTAATTGGGGAAATGCGCGCCGAAATGATCCTGATCAACATGCTTCAAATACATTCTGTAGTTTCGCACATTTCGCCCATCAGCCCAGAAGCTCCGAGCCCTAAACTGTAAATGCCTTGACCCCACACTCCAAAATCCTGTGCCATGCCCTGCACCCTATCAACCCTTTAATTGGACAGGCCCAGCGAGAGAAGAAGCCTGGGTCCCAGAACCAGTCTTAACTTCGGGCCAAAGGCAAGCGATTTAATGTATATATATATATGTAACTCAGGCGAGGAGCGTAAAGAATTTAACAATTTTGCGCAAACTCGTTTCTAAGGTACAGTGGCCACGGCAGGTTGAGATAATGCGCGCTTGGACTTCGAAACATCCAGTGTTTAGCTTGCGACGTTGAGGTCGACCGCTGAGGTTGTACACTTGAAGAAAAGGCAAACCCCAAAGAGCTCTTCAGCTTCGCCGTCGACTTGACGCGAGTCTGAAGTGCATTTTCTTAAGGATTGTTTAGTTGCTTCACGTCAATTTTACGAATATATCAAGCATGACGTGTTCTGTAGTCACTGTAGTGGAGACTGCATGGTAGTCAAGCGATTACGATCATCCTTGGTCCAGTGCTTTTCAGACCCCGACTAGTACGGGCTATGCCTGCCGTAGTTACTCTCACCTGCTACTTCCTAAGTCTGCCTGAGTCACGGGGACCCCACCAAGCCCCCAGCCCGAAGTAATCCTTCGTCACTGCTTTCTTAACTGTTTGGCGGGGACCTTGGAAGCTGATGAGCCAGCCAAACTCCTAAGACCCAAACTTCTGACCAAGACTGCTAAAGCCTATAATGAGCTTCAGACCGTAGGATTGAAGGTGCAACGTCGATGGCTAGAATCCTGTCTGTGTTGTTGATGGAAAAAATCTTGCCCTACTTAATTCGGAGCACATCGGCGATTGCAATGTTTGCAGATTAGGCCTTACAATACATCCTGGGTCCTTCATCCTCACTAGCTCTGTTTGTTCAGTAATGTCATCAACGAAAGAGATCTTGCAACACCTAGAGAAGTGGCCGTTCCTAGACACGCACCTCGAGCAGTCCGAGAAAAGGGACTTTTTTGTGCAGTCTTTTGCTGATCCCTGGGATTCTTCAAGGTATTCCCATTTTTGACGAAACGTCATTTTCGCCGCCTTAGCACGGCGGCGAGGTTTTAGCACAGCACTGCACAAGCAGCATGCTGCTGCATCCACTCTGCGGGAACGGATGATTCTAAGCGGCATGCTTCTGGCAGTTCCTCCACCTTTGAAACTCTGTTTCGTGTAAAGGCTGCTAAAGTTCAACTTAGTGCAAGGTAGCCAGCGGCCGCCATGGAAGTGCCATTTCCTAGACCAGTGAATCGAAACTGGCACCATGCATCTTCAGTGCATGATACCAACCCCAAAAGAGTTCATAACATTTCCAAGTTAGCAGGGTTTCCAAGCAGGGTAGACCGCAAAGCCCAAAGCCCAGAAGGATTCAGTGTACAAGATCACGCTCTTTCGCAAGGGCTGGGATTGCTTCAAGCTTTGTGGCTCCCAAAGTGTCGTGTTTGTTCCAGGACTGAATGCAAGATTTTCGCAATGTGGGACTACCACGCCGGCAAGGCTCAATCGGGGAGGGGCTTGGGGTTCAACGATTGTGAACTGGCAAGCCACTTCTGGCACTAGAAGCATAAGTCCTGCTTACCATCTACAGGTTTTAGTTAGTTTTCGAGGCGTTGGGCTGAAGGTCTTACAGGTGAAGCGAGTGCTAAGACTACGGGGCGTCGTGACGCAAGCTGGGCAGGTCTGAATCGAAAGAAGTTGCATGGTACCAGAAGACCCCAACGTCGTCCGTGATTTATTTGGTTCATCTAAATGTTATCTAGATGATGGTTCCTTCCGGGCGGCCTCTAAGTCGAAGCTAGATGTGTGCAGGAGGTGAGCCCAAGTTTAAACAATGCCCATGCACCAGCCCCAAACCCGCAACTCTGAATCCCAGGGCCAAAGTAACTCCCTAAGCTCCAAAACATGAAGCAGAACTGCTGCGCACAAAAGCACTGCGAAAGGGCGGCAAAAGGTTTTGCAAAGGTTCAGGGCTGGGCCGTACGGATTGCATGTAGCAGAAAAGGTTTTTTGGCAGGAACAGCTACTAAGCCATTATAATCGTTAGTCTTGGCCTCATATTGTTAGCATTTGTTAGTAGTCTCATTTAAAACGACCAGCAGCATTTTTTTATCCGAAGTATCCTGTTCGCTATACGTAGTCTCGTTTAAAGAAGAGTAGCAAAAGCGATTTTGGTCTTGTATTCCTACTTGTCTCCGTAGCAAAAGCTGCTATTATCGTTACTCTTGACCTTAGACCTTGCAAAGCCTTAGTAGAGAAGGACGGGGCCGCTTTTTTTTGCGGGGTATGTCTAGGACCAGGACCAGTTGCCCAACCAGCATTTACAGAATCTCTCGTGATCATAGCACCCCAGACAACTAGCTATACTGCCAGTTACAGACTTCAAGAGATCCTTAATAAACAATTTGCACATCCATGTTGGACTACAACGTTTTTTGCAAATCTAAAGAATGGTGTGCGCAAAAGCTTGCAAAGCTCCGCGAAAGGGGGGGCGAAGGGCTCTTTTGGGTGAGAAGGAACATGGGACAACCCCCGTACGTGATTCAGGCGCGGCCGGCCCCCGAGGCTTATGAGGGTTTATAGTGTTTCTTGAGGGTTTATGAACGATTCATAGAAGGTTTCCAACAGGTTTATAGAGGGTTCATGGTTTTATAGAAGGTTTATGAAAGATGACAACAACCCACCCCCTTTGACCGTCAGCACGGCCAAAGCGTTGCAACAATATGAGGTTTTAAAAGCAGCGGCACTTGCGAGGATCGGGATGAGGACCACCCCGATTCCTGTGACTGTTGGTACTTTTGAAGTGCGACAAAAGCATGAGGGGCTTTCCGATGACAGTTAGGATGGTGCAGCCTACATCCTACCCAGAGCCCTAACCTGCAAATACTCCACAGGATCCCCAAACTGGGCTCAATGCCTGAGCCCAAGATCCGAAATCCTAGTGCCCGCTTTAAACGTTAAATTCTCAGTCCTAAGTCAGGTCCCTTTCTTCATTCAGAAGGACTTGGAGTCCTGGGCTCTTCACTCCCACGGACGATGCGGGAGCCCGGCGCCCTCCTGGACTTCTGGGCTTAGGGAATGCGTGGGAAAATTATGATGATTAGATTTCAGGATGTAGGGCTAGGGGCTTCGTGATTTAGAGCCTAGGCGTACGGTTCAGCATTCATGATCAGTGTTTAGGATGTGGGGCTTATGGTTTAGACTGTAGGTCTTACGTTATAGGTGGTTTACACAGGTCTGTGCCTTTCTGCCTACAATTGGGGGTTTCCCAAAATTAGGGGTACCTTTTTGGGGGTCCCCCTTAAAAAGACTATAATATGTTGGGGTCTAGGGTTTACGGAAACTACCAATTCAAGCAGTTTGTAATCTTTGGGAATCACTGAATCACTAATTACGGTCCCAACTTCAGATGCGAGCCAAAGTGCGTGCCATAACGGAATTGCAAGGCATGAGTGTGGTTTAAATCCTTTACCGGCCTCCCCACGCCCCCACTGCCACCTAGAACCGCCACCGACACTAACACCGCTGCCGCCACCAGGGCCATTTCCAGTGGCCTGTGGGACAGGAGTCTGGCATTGCATTGTGAGATGCCATCCAAGGATCAGACCCCAGCTTGAGAGATGCAAAGTTGGGAAGTTTTCCCAAGCCCTGAGCCCCAAGTCCTTAGCCACATCCATGGAAGCTCCGTAGGTGCTGATCAACAACACCAACATTCGTGATTACATCCCGGATCTTCCAGAGGAGTACTTCAGGCAGAGTGTCTTTGAGGAAAGCGTTGGAATTCGGGCTGAGATTCGAGGATTCTCGTTTATCCTCGACATATGAAGTCTAACTGCTCAAGTTGTAGGATGGTTGAGGAGTTGGGGTCCAGGTTCGGAAGGTGCTGCTCGGCATCCCTTTGCTCTGGAACCTCTAAATTATAAAGTCTACTGCGACCTCAAGCCAGCGTATGAGATGCGTGACATGCACCTGATTCAGTAGGCTGTTACCGGCAGGGCACTCTTGTCAGCCCCTGTCAAGGTACTCAGAGACTGATGTTGTCATACTCACCACCCATCTCACATGGTAAACAGCAAGCGGAAGTGATCATTTCCTGCAGCGGCATTGCCCTATCGACCCCGTACATTCTTGGTTTCTAGGCTTTGCCATCACCACCACCAGCCTCATACACGCAGGGCCCCCCAAACTTTGATTTTGAGAAGTCCATTTAAACTAAACTCGTCCAAGCCATGCCAAGCTTGGAGCTTAGAGCCCTCACTTCCTGGGACCCGCTACTCGGACAGACATTGGCGCACCTGTTCCCAGGGTCCCCGAAAGCAAGAACCCAGCCCAACCCGTCAACCCATATGCAACTTCAAAAAACATACATATACATATATATATATATATGTATTCCATATATATATATATACATTCCCACGTGAAATCAGCAGCCCCTGAAGCCAACAGACTCGAAGGCTTCCAGCGCAGTTCCTGTTCCATTCACAGGCTCCCTTTCCCAGCTAACACCCGACGCAACCAAAGGTAGATCTGGCTGAAGAAGATGCGAAAGGAAGTCTACATGATTGCATCACAGAAATCTGCTGCGGAGCCTAGAGTCATTGTATTGTAAACCCAGAAAGTAACGCCCAAGAAAGGCTTCCAGACCATGGTTCCCGCTCTGATGTGATCCGCTATGCCCTGATCTACCACCACGGAGGCTGAACTGTGTTTGGACAGGACTTTCTCGGGACCGGGAGGGTGACGTGATAAGGGTGTTAAGTTTGGGAGTTTTCGGTGCTTCGGGCTTCAGGTCGGTCAGGGTGGAGGGTGGAAGCCATCCACAGAAGGGAGTTGGGGCTCGAAAGGATTCCGACTCAAGATGGCGTGGCTTGTCTTGCGAGTTGTCACCGGGCTCATGTGCGATAAGCTGCCCCTCGAGCAGGCATCTACATGGACACAGACATCCTGGTTCTGCGGGATCTCAACGAGGTGCTCTCATCAGATCCTACCCTCACCTGCCAAATTACAAAACATTGCCTCTAAAATCCCTTACAGTAGCACAACTTGAAAATGTTGATGGTGGTGGGCAGAAGCAAGTCGCCACCACACATGCCAAAGCAATCCTTCGAGCAAGGGCCATTCTGTTTATGGAGGAAATCTTGCACCACCATAAGTCCCTCAAGTGCTAGGAAGTACAGTACTTTAAGGCCCCTAGCGGCCGTAGCTGGTGCAGGATTTCATCCATCAACAGCTTGTGAATCCTGAGCAGCCAAGAGCCAAGGTGCAATTCCACTGAATTATGAAGACCTGCACGGGGCTACCGGAGCAGGTACAACAACGACCAGCACAGCCAGGGTTTACAGGTTGAAGAAGACTTCCTGCCACGCAATTATATGATGATTTCAACTGGAAGTACATTGAGCATTGCAACGACCAAGCTTACAACCACGAATTCATGCCAAGTCTTCTTGTCACTTGTCACAGCTCACTCTGGCTGCCATTTGCAGTCAGCTAGCTGGGCCGCAGCGCGTCTCTGGTGGTCAACGGCCCTGCAGCATCTATTCAGTGGCAAGTAGTTTCTCAGTGCCAGCTGGACTGAGGCTATGGGCCTTTTCAGTCTGTTGCTCTGGAATGCTTTCGCATGGTAGGCATATACTAAATCAGAGGCTGGTGCTCTTGAAGACCTGCTTTTAACGTGTGCCAGCACGTGAACACTTCGTTGTTGGCTGGCGCATGATCGTGGGCAGAGAGGTCACACATGCCGTGGGTAGCTTTGCCACACGGGTCGGCTGGGCCAAAGGGGTTTTCGGCTCGGAGCTGAGCATCCCTGACAGCTGCTCTCCTTGCCCATCTGGCGACGAGCAGTGTATTTGCCAGAGAGGATCTTGTTGGGTGATCTCCATTTTGCGCTGCCGCTAGGTACTCGACAAGGTGGCAGACGACTACGACCTGATCTCCTACTCTTCAAAGCAACCATTCTGCATAGCATGCGCTCCCACGAACGAACAAGTAAATTGTCAAGGGCATGTTGCGGAGGCCAGTAGCCTACAAAGGAACATGTTCAGGTTCCATGCGGACGTGATGTCTGCAGAACTTGGGCTTCAGAGGTTGAAAGAAACGCAGGTACCTAAAGATTTGAAGACAGCCCGCTAGGCTTTCCGAAGCCGCTCTCCATGATAGCATACGAAAGCATTGCTTCCCCTTGATCGTTTTGGGCAGCGATGTTACACAAATGTGCGAATTGGCAAGACATAGGGACATAGGGGCTTATCAAGTCAAAGTGGGGGTATCCTGAGGGGGGATACAGTAGGTAAGTGTCCCTCAGTAAGCATCATGCGGGTCTGTGTGTTCTTACTTCACGCATGCTTCCAGGCACCATTTGGAAGCTCATCAAGAAGCCAATGTTGCTGTCCTGAGTTGAAGTCTTGAAGACCTTGAACGAAAAGCCGCTCCCCAAGCCTCGAGCTACAACTGACCGATGTGCTGAATCGCGGACTCGAAAAGACCGCAAGCCCTCTAGAGCTGATTCTACACCCAAGCCCGGGCAATTCCAGCATAGGCGAACCTGCAAAGCGTTCAGCTCGAACTTCTTGGCCGGACGCACCTAGGTTGCTTTAGCCGCTAGGTCCCAGGCATGAAGCTTCAACCTTCAGGTTTCTCTGTACTGGATCATGCACATACGCCTTTCTCAGGTACAGGTTCTGTTGTATGGGGCTTTATAACGGGGGACATAGGGGACCCTGTTTTTGAGAACTCCTCATAGTTGAGCCGGGTAGTTTTAAACATGCTCCTGGACTTGCAGCAATTGCCCTACTCTCCAGATATTTCAGTGTCTCACTCTCATGGAATTAGGCTCCAAAACCATATCATGCGGAGGATCTCAACTTAAGGCCGGTGATCGACAGGGATGTCTATGCACATATTTGCCTCTTCTGAGGTGTGTATGGGCCTTGAGACTTAGGTCATTCTACTGTAGCTGATTTGATCAAATTTGTAAGGTAGTGTGAGGCCGAGGAAGCTTGTACACCGTGCGCGTCAGACTAAATCCCAGCTTCAATCAAATTTGGGGTTAGGCAGTTCTAGTAGGCAGTACCTCTTTGGGAAGGTCTTCTAGGCTTCTTGTAGCTCGCGCGGCCTGGAATCGGTGAGCCTGCATGCCCATAATACATGATTATTCTAGAGCCCGATTTCGTAATTCCTTACTCAAAGTAGGGTTGCTTATACTAGGCAAGGCCTCGAGTAAAAGTCCTTGGACTGCCCTCCTGGGAGTATACGCAGCCTTTTCTGGAAAAGGTTGTGCCGAGGTCGCGTTGAAAAATGAAGGATTGCGAGATATTACGTTGCCTACCTCCAGTGTCCGTTACAGAAGAGGTCGGTTTAGTTTTAGGTTTAGGCTGCTTTTCTTAACGTTGTGTCCCTTCTTGACATGAGGGAGCATGTTTGGAATCAGGGTCCTGAGATTTTCGGGAGATATTTGAACCACTTCAGTTCTGATGCATAAGCGGGCCGGACTTGGTTTTCGCAAGACAAAGGTTTCACGGTATTGGGTTCTGCAGCTATTGTGGCCTCAGGCGTGGGGTTGCGGACCTGTCTGCTCCCCTGCGCTCTGGGTTCTGACCCCAGGCTCCACAAAGCAGTGACCTCTCGCTCAGACACTTGTGGGCTTAGTAGAGTCGTTTTCGTGATCGCTAACGCTGCTCCATTGCATCACATAGCCCGCCCTGGATTCAACCTCCAAACTAGGCAAGCACAGCGCCTTCATGAAAGAGGTCTGGGAGGCAGCAGCTGGCTTGCGGATGGCTTAAACATAGGCGTGACGGCTCAAGGTTTCTATCCGTTTGGGTACCTCAAGTGTAGGTTGGCGGTATATGTGTCGGAAAGCAGTTTGGTACTTCAGGATATCAGCCGTTGGTTATGGAAGAGTTTGGTCACCATGCACCAGCACGCCACATCCTCCTGGGATAGGCGCTACCCGCAACCTCAATGCTAAATGGCAGCTGCAGCATGAAATATTCCTATGGGAGAGAAAATGCCTGAATGCCTTGTCATACCTCCTTGCAGAACTTCGGTGAACTACGTGAGCCATGTCTTTTTCAGATCGTTGGTTGTTCAGATTCCTGACCTAGCATCATACCTCAGGAGTTTGCAGGTGCATGTTGCGTTTGCTCATCCAGTGACCTTGACTTCCGCTGCAACGTCTCTGATTATCTAGATAGTCTTTCGGGTTTACAGAAGGGCTTCAACTTGGGTTTCTATCGCCATGCATCCTTTTGCTCAGACGCGTGATTCTGGCTCCACTTGCCCAGCTGTCTCACAGCCTAAGCTCAAGTAAGTATAAGCTTCTATCCAGCTTAGTCTTGAGGATCCGGTGGATCCAAGGTAAGTCCGATAAGCTTGGACAGGCGCAGAAAAAGGCCATGACCGACCACTGCGAATCCCACGATGATCAAGACACCAAGGACCACTGGGATTCAAGTCTGAGTGCTGGAAACTATGAGGGGCTCCTCTTGACATTTAAAGCCCCGTCGGGGTGCCTATCATGAGAGATACTAAGTAAGTTAGCTTTCCGATGGATGTTGTAAGGGTTGTTCAAGCGAAGTTTTTCTGGGTGGCAGCAAGAATGTTCATTCCGCTTTTGTTTGCCGGATTTGAGAGGCTCACTATGTGCGGGCTTTCAACTTGAAAGTGCCTAGCTTCAAGTAGAAAAGCTTGCGTTCTCATGGCCAGCTCATTTGGACATTGGGCAAGCTACAACCCGCTACAGTACATCTTTAGGAAATAGGTGCAACTCCAAACCTAAATGTGAATCTGATTACCTGAGCTGGGTTTCTGATCCAATCCCAGCTGCCATTCTTGATAGCCCGATCCCTAAAAAAACATGTCACAAAGCGCCTTTGCGGCTAAAGCCTGGTTCATAGGAAAGCCAGGTGAAACAAGAAAGATGTAGTCAGCTCTTAGTTGTTCCTTGCCAGCTCTTTGAGAAGGTAAGTACTACCCAACAGAATATACCCTGAACGGAGATCTGACAGAAGCAAGCACCTTATGCCGGATATTCATCCCCAAACATCCTAGAAATCCTGGTGTTTGCGGTCAGGTGTGCTGTCCTGCAGACGTGAAGCGCAAATGCCACGTGCACTGGGGAGCGGCTACGCTTGCATAATCTGGGTTTGTAGGGATTATGCGTCATTGCTGAAAACATATTTAGGGATGTAGCCAACACATGTTAATTCCAAAACGAAGCAGTTCCAGGGGCTCAGGGCTCTGAGTGCCGATGGTCCACGGCAATTGGGTGCCGGCTTAGGTCATGTCAAAGGCAGAAGGCCAAAGGATGCGTGTAGACGAACGTGGTCATGTGGTATGGCCTCAAGATCTTGACTTTTGCTGTACTCCTCCACCTAATATCGTCCCCAAAGCGAGTGAAGAATGCTTAGTCATGGCTTATTGAGGATGCTCGATTGCTCGGTTGGGCTGGCTCTAGCATTGTTGGTATGGGAACCTCGGACATGTGTTTGTACAGTAGTTCGAAGACAGGCATGGGACAGCATAGTGAGATGTACAGTATGGACAGGCGTGAAACTTAGAATCTCTTCCTGCATACCGGACAGCTTCTAATTTTGATGCTAGAAGCAGGTCATTCGTATCCTCCAATCCTCATTGACACCAAAGCCTTTTGCAGCTAATCCAGGAGACAGGGACGCAGTGCCGCTGTCCTTCTGTAATGAAGAAAGCAGCCTGAAGAGCTCAGGCCCCTAATGTACTCATTTGAGCGGTGGGCAGAGCGATGCGTTATGAGAAAGTAGGAGATGCATGGTGAGCTTACTGCATGTGGCAGCGTTGCATTAATTATCTGCGACTGTTTTGCAGCTGCTTCAAGAACCTTTTGCCCGATCTTAAAAGTCAGGCCCCTGCCAGCCAACCTTTAATCTTGGTTCAGCAGTGTACATGGCAGCTCTAAAATCGTTTAGCCGTGTATCGCGTTACTGTCACAGAGCAGGGCTACATGAGAGATGTAAGCAGGAAGCACTAGTTTGGAGGACCACTCAGATGTGCAGTGGGGGCTTTCAGGCTATCGGCGAGATGATCTCTCACCCGGTCTTCGACAAGTTTGCCACCAAAAGCCCTGATATGAAAAAGCATTGCTTCGCTGAGGAGGCGGGTGCGGTTGATATTCTAGGTGGCAGGCTTTAAAAAGTAGATGGTTACATGTGACGACACGGCATTCGTTTTGTATGAGGACCCGGAGCTCAAGATCGGGAGTTGGGTGGATAGTGGATCATGGGTGACAGATCAGGGCTGTGGTTCCAGGATTTTCAGACGTTTGGGCTTGAATGCGTCGAGGAAGATGCCTCAAAGGCTAGGTTCGTCAGGATCTTCTAGCAATTCTTGTTTGCAGTGGGCTTCAGTGCTTGCAGACCCTCAAAGCCGCTCAAAGCCTTGAAGATCATGAACAGGAATTGCACACCAACCTTTGTAGCAAATCGCCCCTGTAATTACGCCTCCAAGCGCCCCAAAAAATCTCAGGCTTCAGGTCTGAAAAGCCAATCAGACCCTGCGCCATGATGCTTATTCGCCTAAATCCTTGAGCAATAGAAGTCCATAGTGAATCTCAAGATTCTTCACAGACTCCTGTGGGGTTCGTGCCACCGTAGCTTGCAAACCTGGGTCTGGTCATCCCAGCCCTGCTCCTCATCTGCCTGCCTTCAGACATTCAGACGTCTCGCAACTCCGTAGCTGTCACGTCCAGCATAACCCTGCAATATGGAACTAAAACACCAAATACCCGATCTACTGTAGCTTTTCTAAAATCAAGACATGAACAGCAGACACCAGGAACAGAAACGTGATCATGACAAGGATACGACTGGAACCCTTGAGCCCTTCATCTTCCGCCTGATATGCTTCAAAGGGCATCCAGCCCTAAGATTACCACCGAAGGATGTTGAATCATAGGTCTTGCATCTTGAGTTCTCAGCTTGAAACAAACTCTGCACCACGCACCATAATCTCGCAGCGCAAGTTGTTTTCTTGGCGGTGGAAACCCAGTTTAAATCAGACTGAAGGACGGAGAGTCGTTCGCCCCAGAAGGTCGGCGGGTTGGGTGTCATGGGCTCTTGAGTTATGTCCAGTGATCAAGGCTTTTGGGTTTGGGGATTTGGGCTGCCTTGTGTTTTAAGGGCTTGGCCCCAAACACTCAAACCCGATTTCCGAATTATGTGGAGCTCGGGGCTCAGGTTTCAAGGGAAGTTCAGTATGAGTACTATGAGGGGCATGAGAGCAAAAGCTCAGGAAATCTTCAAGCGGTCTGGAGCAGGATTCTTTAAGCAAGTTGGCCTACCACCAGGGGCTCAAAGCAATGCTTCACATCAAAAGCTTCTAAGCAACAGACAGCATCATGGTTCTAGGAAGGGTAACAAGTAGTGCTAGGTAACGTGCGGGGACCAGTTGTGTTGCAATATCTAAGTTTACGGGCTCCTGAGTTGCAGTGTTGGTAGCTCTCTGCCGAGTTTATAATCATAATAACCCCGAACCCTAAACCTGATTCAGCGTGGAAGGGAAGCATCCTGCTTAGTTAACGCTAATGAAATTGCCACTCTTGCCTTGAGGTCATCCCCAAAAGATCCTCACACGTGCCAGGCTTGCGATTTGGCCAATATTCTACTTGCAGCTCCAAATAGTTGGGTGCGCATGGCCATCTTAGAGGGTCTAGATTCTCAGTGTGCATAGGAATTTCGGTGCGCGGCAGCCAACTCACCCAATCATGAATCTTCGACGACCTAGATAAAATGCCTGGTGGGTCCACCGAAAAATGTGTTGTCTTACTGTGCCTTCAAAATGGCGACTGGTGTGAGTCATCAGCGCAAGGGTCCTTCAAGCAAGCTTGTCTGCAACCTTCAGCCAAGCTCCAGAGCATCAATCGATCACGAGTACAAATGCCACAAGTAGAACCAGTACTCATACGACTCATACGAATACCGAGTCTGGACTTCATTCTTCAAGGCCTGAACAGCTGCCGGCAGTGCGAGTGACCCTGCTGTAGACCTGCAACCCTCAACCCTACAGGTCGTGCAAATTGCAAAACCAAGACCCTTTCCATTGTTTGCCTTGTGGTGTTCTTCGGCATGCTAGTTAATGAGGATTCTCCAACCTGCCGGGTCCGGCTTTTCATAATGTAGAGGTCTTGTGAAAATCCCTCGTGATTGCTCAGGCATGGGCACCGTGCTCTTCACAAAGCGAAAGCTCCACGACGCCCTGCCCTACTTTTCAGGCATCAAGACAAAGAAGCCTGGCTGCTTCCGGTTGAGGCTTCAGTGATTTTAAGTGGATCGCCAGGATCTGGGGTAGAGGTTCAGGTTCTGGGTCTCGAGTTCAGGGATGTAGCGTTTGCCGCGCAAGGTGCCTGTGCTGCATCAACAGGCGCAGACAGACCTTGTGTGGTTTTGGAAGGCATTGCCGCGTAGGAGCGCATTCAAAGCCGGTCTTATGTTTGTTGGAGCTGGTTACCATACCGACTGGACTAATGTTGGACCTGCTTTAGTGTTGGTCCGCCCCCCAATCAATAGGGACCTTAGAAGAATCGAAATTAAGGTTCCTCAATACGGGCCCCCAGCCTCCCACGGTTCTGAGGTCCCTGTGGATTGAGTGGGAAGGCAGAGTCGTGAATCTTTCCTGTATTTTTCTAGGTTCCCAAAATCAAAACGCATCCATAGCGGACCTCAGATCATTACCTCTGATCCTGAATGAGCGGGCCCCAAAACACATTATAGAGGACCTCAAGGCAAAACCGGGTGCAACATTACGCTTGACTACTTGGAGTGTGCGCTGTGGTGCCTGCGTGGGTGCAAATCGCTCAAAGCTCAACCATGTATCACTCTTGTCTTTGCGTGGCCTGACGCGAAACCCGTAGCCCTACTCACTATCCCTTGAGAGTAACCAGACTTAAAGCCAACAGAACAAGGGCTTGAGGTTGAGGGCTTTGTCGCGGGTACCCTGAACAGGTTCTGCTTGTAACGCTTGTTTTGCTATCATCCGACGGTGCCTTTAATCATTAAGAACCTGATAAGGAAGCCCATGGACCGCTTGGCTTACCACCTGTTCAATGCCCAGGGCTTCCAAAGGCGAATCTGTTGCCGGGCTTAGGATGCAAAGTTAAGCGCTGGGAGTATAGGTTTCGCTTCAGTTTGGGGTTGAGGTTTTTAGGCTTGGGGCTTGGGCTTTGACGGAACAGGCACTTGTGCATCTTGGAGGTTTGGGAATGCTTTCGGGAGCTGCCGTCATATAACAGGTGTTTTGGAGCTTGCGTGCCAACATGATACTGGCAATCAATGATGGATGACACTGATGGCTGAGTTTGACAGCCACATTGCAGCTTGAGTTTGCAAAGCTGAGTTTGCAAAAGCACTTGGGCAGTCTTGAATTCAGCGTCTGCAATGCATAGCCAGCCCAATTCCCCTCGGAATTCCATCCCTGTATGCTGAGACTTGAGAACTCAAAAGGGAAATGGTAATACCGGGCCCAAATAAACCGCAGAAACTAGGCCGCCTCCGTTTTCTCTTTCTCAGAAGTACTCCGCCTACTTTCTCCTACAATACCAACAAGAGACCCAGACGATTCTTGCGACCACTAGGTTTTGAAGATCTGCTTAGGGATCCAGATCCAATCCGGCAGGGGAGGAACATTGCACAGCACACTTGAAGCCTTGGTGCGTGCTGGACACGCAGGATGTGCAAGCATTGCCTAAGATTCATGACTCACTCTTCATGTAACTGGGGGTTCGCACCTGACAGGCCACGGGCGGATAGTGGCAAAATCTGACCCGCAGCAGTCGGAAGCTTCACCTCAAACCTGCGCCCCAAACCTCAAAGCCACGAAGCCACGAGAATTCCAGGATCCCACGTGCCAAACCGGCCCCCAAACCCTGAAGCCTGAAGTTCCATGCCCACCAACTCTCAAGAAAGAGGCCCTGATCCTTGTGTTGCTTCTTATGTACTGTGCGAGATACGACGTGTAGCCCTAAATGTGAAACAGCAGGGAGTACGCGGGCAGCGCCATCTTCGATGAAAATCTTTTCGTCGGAGCGCTCTACAGGAATCGTTTGAACATGATTTAAAGGGGTCGTCTGCGGATTGTTTAGGATTGGTTGTTAAGACTTCTTTGGGTATTCCCTTTGTGCCACGTACTGCTCAGAGTCCACCCCTTCGGAACTAGGTGCAAGCAGGAGAAGACGGCGATGGCCAATGGAAGAATTGTGAGTGTTTTTGGCGGTTTGAAGTAACCTACGCGAACTGACCTATCCCTGTGCTCTTCACATTACGCCTGAATGCCCTATTTAGAAGGGGATGTCGCGCAACCCCGAAGCTGCAGCATGTGTCAATGCCTCAGCTGCGCCAAACTTGAACAGGGCATGGACTTCCAAAGCACAGTTGCGCGTCGCATAGATCCATTGATTTCTAAATACTCAAACGTTCGGGAAGATCACCACAAAAAACGGGAACACCACGAGAACTGCGGGCAATAGGCAGATCAGGTGCTTGAATTGAAATTCACGAACCAGTCTAGCGAGCAGTTCCTCAAGGGGAGTCTTTGCCTCGTTCATGCACGCCCGCCAAGTCGTGTGTGGGAGAATTCCTGAACTAGCGTGGTGTAATCCGAAGGAATTGCCAATGAAACACGAACTGCCAGCCCATGTACTTAGATTCAGATTAGATCCTCCCAACACGAAGGCAGGCATTGGGACGACGGCGAAATTTGGAGGTCTCCCCATGCTCTACTTTCAAGCGGGTGGACTCAGGACTTTCACAGCGATAGAACTTTTCCCACAGCCGCATCAGGTTTTAAGGCTCTCCACATCCCTGAGAGTCATCATAATGTTGATGAAAGAAATCCTGCAACAACCTAAGTCCGCTGCTGAAAAGCAACCAGGTGTTCATTCGACGACATGTTGAAGGTTGACCCCAACTTTGAACCCTAAACCTTTAAGCCCTACAGTGTAGTGTAGTCATGAGCCCTGGACCCTGGCACATGTGCAGACGTGAATTAAGATCAGGAAGAGTTTGGGCAGCGCCTCAGCTCCCCCAAAGGGGCCTACGGACGACGGCCCGGCAGAGCACCTTACTTATTTTCCTTAGCTTGCTTTCATTCTTGAGGACTCCGTTCTAGGGCTAAGCGTTAGGGTTTCAGGTTATGGTTTGGAGTGAGGACTTCGGGTGCAGGGTTTAGGGTTACACTTGAGGGAACCATATGATCTCCAGCCTGTTTAGCCAGCAAGCGGCATTTTTGTGACTTCTCAAGGTGCTTCCTCAACATGTTATTTCTGCAGCTTCCTTCGCCATCCTGATTGCCGGCAGAGGGGAAATGGGGTTCAGGATTCTGATCTACTGGAGGTATGTGTGCAATGCAAATGATGATGGTTGATTTCCCAGATCATCCAGATGTCCTGCTTAGCCTGAGGCAGAGGGACCGATAGTTCTTTTTGGTGTGGTTCCTTGCCCTCTACCTCCCGCCCCCAACCCGCCCCCACCCGCACACGCCGGTCACCAACGCCGCCCCCCGTTATCATAGCAACAAGCAACAATAATAGCAGTAAAAATACTAATAGCAGTAATGGCAAGAATAGTTGTAATACCAGCAATACCAGTAATACTAGATAAGATCAGCAATAATAGTAACAATAGTAGTATTAGCAATATCAGGAATAATCATACTAAATGGTAATAGTGGTAGCAATTATTGCAATTCTGGGTGGTCAGGGGGCGGTGATAGGGGTTGGGGTTGGGGGGGGGGCGTGGTGGTGAGGAGGGCAAGTGGTTAGTGCCTTGGACCTGATGCTGGGGGCGGAGGTGGTGGTACACTCCCACAGCCCCTTCGAGCCAACCACTATGAAGTCTTGATCTCTTGAGGGATTTGGGCTTGCTATGGGATTTAAAAACCCCGGCTTTCGCAAGGGTTCCTACAAAGAGGTAGCATCATCTCGCATCAACGCGTAATCCAGAAATTCGCCTCAAGCTGAGGTACTGCGCCTCTGAAGGTGAAGTTTGCCCATGTTCTGGCAGAGTTTTCTTCGGACGAAAGTTTGACAATGACAAGGCCACATTCCGTGAATGAACGCTCTGCAAAAAGTAGTGCACTCTTGACTAAGTGTCTTGTTGAGACCCTCAGTCTAGTCCTAAAAGTAAGACGGTGTCCGCTTGCGTTAATACCGGGTCTACGCACGATGGATAGTGCCAGCACTGTGCCAGCTAAAACAATTTGAGGTCGTAGTCTTTATCTATGATTGCAGTTTTCTTTCGGACAGGCGAAAAGGATGCAGCTGCTTCAGGGCTTGATCTTGTCTAGAAAACAAAGCAAGATCAAGAACGCAAACGGGGTAAATGGAAACAGCCATAGCCATCATCATCACCACCACCACCACCACCACCACCACCACCACCACCACCACCACCACCACCACCACCACCTCACCATGGCAGCAGAACGTGGCAGCATTCGTTCTACCACGAGGAGGAGGAGTAATCAAAATAGTTGCCACACTGCTCTTGCCCTTGTGATCGAAGCATTGCATACACGCGTTGTCTCCTGTGCTAATGCCGGACGTCAACCTCGCACCCGCTGCTTCTGCGCATGGGAAGAATCCTGAAACAGGGCTGCGCACTGCAATATCCCGAGCCCCCATTGAGAAGAAAGAGGGGCCACTTCACGAGGGTGCCTTCAGATGTTACGATCATGGTTTAGAGAGCCCCCCAGAAGCCCGTCCTCCACCAAATGGCGCATGCAGACAGAATCTCTGCATCCTGAACCGGGAGGATGGAGACAAGCTGGACTTGTCCGAGATGGTTCTCCAACAGCATCGTGGCTTTTTGTATTTGCCAAAATGCATAGGTATGTCGCTCAGTAGGGATTATGTGTGGGCTTTAGGTTTCGGGGTTTCGCGAGGCGTAGATGGAGAGCATCTTCTTCGGCTTTGTGCAATGGGCTCAATACTGCGCCGGGCCAAAAGTTCGACCCAATGTCAAACTTAGAAAAACTTGTCCAACTCAGTCACTGATGCAGCTCCCCTTGGGCCTCCACCGAACCTAAACAGCATCACACCCTTAAAGCGGGGTATGACTTACTCCGCTAGCAGCAGGTGAAGTGAAAACGGTATGTGGGACCCCTCCGCCACTCTGCAATCGGCCTGCTGATGTAGGGCTCGTTCTCCGGCACAATATCAGCACAAGATCATGAAATTTGGTTGGTAATTCTTTGCGTCCTTGTAGTAGCACTGTGGTCGTTGAAGAACCAGGGTTCGTCAACCACGCGCACGCGTTTTCTGGATAGCGACATAGACCCCGACAGGGTGGGGTACTGTAGGAGCTCAAGCTAAGTGACTGGGCACAAGGCCTGCAGCATGGTCCTACTCCATTCTGCGTTGACCAGAAAATCGTAGAGACCTGCTTCAAACTTGCTAGGCTTGTCAAAGTCATTTTTGTGAGCATCCAAGACTGAAGACATCACGCTCTGTTAAGTCTAAGAGTGCGAATGCCAGAAGTCGTTTGTTAATCTATATCCCAACACCCACCTCAGAACTCAAAAGGATACAGCAGCATTCATGAGTTAGTAGGCGTCTTGCACCAACTCCTAGCTAGACTTGACTCGTCCGATTTGGAGGTTTGGATGCGGGGTGCTGGCCCTGTTCCCCACGTGTGTGCTGTTTGGGACGGGGAAGGATTTAGCAGCAGGGAAGCAAGAACCGCTGCCATTGTATGTTCGTCGTGGACAGGACCCTGCATGGACCTCAAGCCTTGTGTTTGCAGTGTGATATGAATATGTACGACTTTGGGCATTTAGGACCATGCAGGCTCAACGGACCCTGAACGCAACACCCTTGACCCTATACCATCAAGGTACCGCATGCAGGAAGTACATGGCGACATCGTTGGGGCCTTTCTTGTTGGCAGGTTTCCTGAGGGCGTTAAGAGAATAAACCTGCCTACAACAGGGGATTACTGAAACTCTTCATAGACTCTGGCTGCAAGAAAGGAAGGCAGAAATACCCCCACCGCAAGGTACTTGAATGGGAATTGGGCTGGTGGAGGACTTTAAAAGCTTTCAACGTCTTGGTGACGGGCTGGGTTCAGAGGCTGAAAGTCGGGCAGCCGTGAATTCCTAAGTTTGGGGCTTGTGTGTTTTGAGTTGTAAGTTGTTACAGTTACAGTGAGGTTCATGCTGTCAGGCTTAGGCCTCGCTGCACATCTTCTGTCTATCAGCCCTTGTCTTTGTTCAATGGAGGTTCTTGTTTTTACCTGCCCCGAAGCAGATCCATTGGTCCATGGGCATGGAGGTCTGACGGAAAAGTCACTCAGTGAGGGAGTGAGTGAGGAACGACCTGGGGTGCACTCTGGCCTACGGAAACGTTCCCCCGACCTTCTCTACCCCCTCCGCGTACGTCATTGGGGAGAT